ACACACACACACACACACACACACACACACACACACACACACACACAGTTTTGCTACCAGAAACATTCCTTTGTTGAAACATATGGCCTCAATTACTGCCCCTCTGTTTCCTGCCTCTGCTCCTTTCCTGTTCTTGATTCCTTTTCTATTCTCCTCCCCCCACCACTGACTGCTCATGTTGGTGACTGCAGAAATTTACCTGTTATATTTAAATTAAATTTAACATTTTAATTTATCAATATCCAACTGAATTTACCTTACTACCTCTTCTCCCCTCCCCCCCATCCCACCTTGGCTGTTCCTTCCAAGTGAGGGTTAGGGGTAATACCTCTGAAATGCCAGGCCTAGTAAAGTTCAGCTAGTTCAGAGTAACTGAATAGTTTGTGCTCTGTTAAAGCTAAGGTTTTGGTTTGGTTTTGTTTTGTTTTTAAAGAAAGACTGACTTTTCCTGGTCCTGTGCCATCCTGGTTTGTTTGGAAACTGATTTTAGAGGTTTATTATTTTTCTCTCAGGACCTTTTCCATCTTACTGGTTGAATACAAACCCTCAAGAGAGCCTAACTATCAGAGCCTAATGGAAGAAGCAGTAACAGCCCATTTCTTTGCCTTTTTCCAGCCCCAAAGCCTTGTAACAAAGCTTATGCCAAGTCTCAGCCCAGCTAATTTCATTTGCTTTTCAGCATCCCAGCTACTCTAGTTATGAATCGAGGGTCATAGAAGCTCTTAATCCTGTCCTCTGATATCTGTCTGTGGACTGGAACAGAACTAGAAGGATATTTCCTGGGACGTTGTAGGTACTCAGGGTAGGAGAAAACATGTTATAGTGAAAAACAACATGAAATTGGGAATCAGAAGACTGGTTCAAATCTCAGCTTTTTCACTACCAATATGACTTCAGGGAAGTCAGCCTCTTGGGGCTTCAGTTTTCTGACGGGTAAAATGAGGGGACCTCTGACAGATGCCTTTTTTCTTAAAACCCTTTGATCTTTATTCTTGGCATATAAGTGATGTTAGGATTTGGCCCAGTCAGCAGGGGGCACGGTATCCCTGTGCCCTGTCATCCTCTGGCCAGCAATTGAGCTGGAATCTAGGTCAGCTGCATTGTTCATCTTTGGCAGGCAGATGGCGCTTGGAACGCTTAGCCAGAGCCTTGGAAATGACAGCTGTTCCTGGGGATTTTGCAGTTTCAGGTTTCACCACCCAGGAGTTGTTGCCATGGAAACAGACCTGGGCCATGAGCAAGGATTCTACATTAACTCCTTGTAAACCTGCAAAGATTGTTCAGTATATGCAAGAGGGCCTAAATGGAATGTGGCTCCCCGGGGGAGGGTGTCGTTAGGGGCTGATACATGTGTGGAAGCTGACCATTCATTTGTGGCTTCCTGCCTGTCTTCCCTCAGCAGAGGGGAACAGACCCCTGCTGCAGACATCTAAGTCGAATGCCTTGAGGGATTAGGGGAAGGGAGTTTCAGTTCCTTTCTATTATTTTAATCTTAGTCTGTGCCTTAAAGATCAGCAATTCTTTGTCCTGATGCTGGCTAAGAGAGAGGAATGAGGCTGGAGGTGGAGTATACCTGGAAGGAAAAGAATCCAACTGTGTTTGCCTTGATAATCCAAGATCCTAGTAAGGGGAAAGCAGTGCCCCTTAATTAATTACAGAGGTTTCAGTGCTGAAACCTCTTATTTCAGTAACCTTGAGGTAATGTGTAAATATGCACAACTTAGATTTTGAGACCCTTCTGTCTTTCTACTCCCATCTGTCATTGTGGTTTGGAACCATATGGAACAGTAGAGGTCAAAACACAGTTCATTTTCTGTGTTGTGGGGATTGACAAAGCCCAGGGTGCTTGGAATAAGAGGGTGTTAGCATATGAACCAGTCACTCCATATCCTACTTCATTTCCTTACAGAGGGTGATGAGACTGGTGTGATGGACAGTCTCCTGGAAGCCCTACAGTCAGGTGCGGCATTCCGAAGGAAGAGAGGACCCAGACAAGGTAAGTGGGGGTCCTATGTTGATAGCTGTGAGGTTTCTATGTTCCAAAGTTAAGGGCACAAATCCTGCATTGGAAAAGGATTAGCTAAGCTAATTTGTTGATGAAGACAGCTAGTACTGGCAGTCTGTGAATGAAGAAGCTGCCCTACTGGAATCTCCTTTATGTAGAGAAAGTCATCTGATTATCAATACCTGGAGCTCATCTGCTGACTTGGAGAAGAACTCTGGTTTCACTTCTCCCTTTCTGGAGCAAAGATCTAAAACAAGGGAGGCAGAAAGAAGGCAATTTGTTTCTGTGGCTATAAGGAGTTTGTACACATATGTGTAGTTAGAATTAGGGTGGATGAAGGGAGTGAAATGATCAGATACTTGAGAGATGACAGGAACAAATAAGACCTACTCAAAGTTTGGAGCTGGAGTGGTAGGTGGACTCTTGAATCACAGGGTCTCATGTGTATGTTTGAGAGTTATCTGATCCAGAAGCAGGCTTTCCCACCACATCTTTGGTGGTTTTAAGTGTATAACATTGAACTAGAGTACCTGGGAAAAGAATAAAGGTGAGGTGAGATGTTATTCAGGTAAGGATATGAAGAGGATGAATAACTAGGGAAATGGAGAGAAGCAAAGGGACCTAATCAAAAGTGGGGGATAGCCAGGGCTCCTAATCTTACTCCTTTCAGAATAGAGAGGCACCAAGACTGTAAATGCATCACCATGCTTGATGAAGATGTTTTCTTAGATTGATGATGCTTTGATATATGAACAACTGAGTCTTAGAAATTGTGTCCTCTTTCCCAGAATGGAAGGAAATGGCAACTAAAGGCTTCCTTTAGCCATAGACTCACTACTAAAATGGCAGGTGTTGTGCTACTTGCTCTCTGGACATTCTATGGTCCTGCCTGACCTCATCTTTAACCTTGGTACCATCCTGGAAAAGAAAAATGGAGCTTGTGTGCATACTCCCACAGTAATTAATGTAACCAATTCCATTCAAGTTAGAGCATGACATACTTGTTACCTGTTAACAAGTTAGAGAGCTAGCACCTGTTACAAATTTCAGAGAGTTTAGCTACTAGAAGTGGGGCATGTAGTAATAGGTATACTTAACCCCAGTCCATACTTTGCAGGATAGACTTTTAGATCACCAAGTTCTAACCCAAAAATCTTGTCTCCATTGGTTGGATTGAAATTGTTTACCATCCCTTACCATCAACTTGGATAACCAGAAATGGAATACTGTAGAAAATTTAATTGGATGCTAAAATCTCTGGTTATAGCACAAGCCCAAACCCAATCATGTTCCTTAAGAAACAGAATCCCTAGAGTCTGAAGTAAAGGTGAAGCTTATTGGTATGATGATTTGAGGGGTAGGAGGTAAGAGGGGAAAGAATTTTCCTAAGCATTTTTTGACTCTTCTCATCCTGAGTCTTTCTAATGGATGTGATGTTTGGGTGGAGTGTTTTGCCATGAGTGTTTGGGTAGGAAGAAGGCAGGGCAGACTGAATCAGTGCTGCTTGGACTTTGCCTATAGACCTAAGTGATGACAAATGGTATTTTTCTTGTCAACTTGTAGACAGTAATACCTCCATATCACATGGAGTATACTGTAGCCTCACAGTAAACATCTCAAACCATTCTTATGTGTGGTGCCCTTCAGATTTTTTTTTCTACTCTCAGCTGTTGAGTATGCTGGCTACAGGCTTCTGTGGACAATTCCCATTTGACCCTAGAGAAGCATGTCTAGTAGAATATACTGGAATCCCAGATGCTTCCCAAGTGTTTCCTGTGTATAGATATTCAGACCACTGGTGGCTTCCCTCGTCTCTGTGTCCTCCCCCTTGTTGGAGTAAGAATCCAGTATTCAAGGGCTAAGAAGGAGCATTCACTGAAGCCTTAGTTCCTCTATGGAAAATTAATTAGTTGACAGCTCTTTTAGTTCTTCCTGTATAAGAGGTTACAGGAGAAATCAGACACTAGGTACAAGAAGGTGAGGTGTCTATATCTTTGAGCACAACTAAATGTTTGAGAGTAGGCATGGATTAGAAGTCACATCACAGAGACAAGTATGGTGGTTCCACTTGATGGGCCTCTGTCTTGTAATCATCAATGACTTCCATTCTTTAGACTTTGTGAGTCTATAGTCTCTGCTTTCATACAGTCATAGAGTTGTCATCCAAAGGGACCCTCCCTGAATACATCTGTCAGAAATCCTTAGGAAGGTTGACAGATTTTTTGAGAGAAGTGTGACACTTAGGTAGAACTCTAAGCATTACAGTGGAAAGCATAATAGACTGGTGGTCAGGAGTCCTGCGTTGTGGTGCCAACTCTACTTCTTACCTAGCTATGTTACCTGAGACAAGTCACTTAATTTTCTGGGCCTCAGATTTTCTAATTTGTAAAAGTTCTGTGGCAATTTAGTTATAAGCAGTGTAGGGGGATGCAGAGGATTAAGAAGCTTCATCCTTTGAGATGATGGCTCTACATCTTCCCTCTTTGCTTCTGGCCTATCCTTCAAGAGCCCGCCCCTCCCCATTACTGCCTGTCTCTTTTTGGCTGCATCATCTGGCTTATTGCCTTGAACAGAGGCATTGCTTATACATCTTCCTCACAGGCTGGGTCTGTGACTGCTCATTCCCAGGGAGGCAGCTGTCCCCTATTCAAAGACACCAGCAGCTCTTCCCTAGAATGTAAAGGAATGGAAAAAATCTACAGGCCTCTAGGGAGTGACTATCATACAAAGGCCTTTTTATTAGATATGGGGGGAAGTGGTCTAGGAGGGAGAAAGGGGGACTTTCAAGGCCAGTTCATTAAAAACAGAGCCCATGCTGCTGTGTTCGGCAGTGTTCAAAAACAATGGCTTAAGTGTGGAGGGGAAGAATCTCTGCAATTGTCCTGCAGGAACTTTTTCAGGCTGATGATTGAGTCAGTTTGTGGTTTTAATGACTCAACTTTATTTCAGTGTCTGAATTGTAGCCTCTTATACTGGCCATCTGCTGAATGGCACGAGTCAAAAGAAGAAAGAAATCTATCCCCCTCTTCCCTTCCTCCTCTACTCCGAGATCTGCTTCCTCTCTCAGCTCCTACTGGGTGGCCACAGCTAAACAGAAAATGATGGTGAAACCCCTGTGTAGTCTAGAAGGGTCTCTTTCCTACCTTCAGATAAAACTAAGAAGTAGTAATGAAGTTGCCTCGATGGGACTTTTTTTTCCCATATTTTTAAAGTATTCCAATAGGAAGAGAATACCCATGGAGCAAAAATAGGACAATAGATATAATTAGGAGTTTATTAGGACATGAATGAAACTTTTAGTATAACTGTAGCTGTCCCATCTGTCCCAGTTTCCTCTTCTCCGGGGGAACTTATTAAAAGGCACACTTCCTTTAACTAGTTCTCATCTTGTGTTCTATAAAACCCTTTTTCCAGCTCATTAACCCTTTTTCCATCCCCAACATCGTATAGCTGTTTCTTGCTGACTTTTTCCCTTTCTGACTTTTCTTTTGTATCAATATTAACATTACTTGATTGTTAATATGAATAAAATTCCATGAGGGAGAACCTTCTCATATATTCAGTGTACTACTTTGTACCTTTGTCAAGCCTTTAGTTTTCCCTGGGCTAAAATCAACTAACTGATGAGGCACGAGGTGGGGCAGTCACCTTGAGCTTGGCTGTTCAAGCTACTCAGCATTATTACAGTGGACAGGATGGAGTAGGGGTCAGGATATTTAACTTCCATTGCCAGAATTGATATTAGCTTGCTGTGTGACCTTGAGCTATGTTGTGTCCTTAGTGCTTTAACTTCCCTAATCTTAAATGAAGAGTATTGCAGACCCCCTATTAATTCCTCGCATGGCTTAAGAATAGGTTTTATCTAATCTGTAAAGCATCAGGAGTTCTTTAATATCTGTGAATATTGGGGGTTGTCCTCAAGATTCCTGGGCAGAGATAGCAGTCTTATTCTACAGAGAAAGAAAATTAGGAACAAAGCATTTCAAAATGGTTCAACATTTAAACTTTGACTCCTACACTCCTATCTCCTATTTTGAACAGACCTGTCTTCTCTAACAATAGCTGCCCAAAACCACCTGACAAAAACTAGGTTATTTAATCCCTTTGAACCTGGCCTTTATTTTTCCTGAGTTTAGAGTCAGAAATTTTACCTTACCTGTGTCTTGTCCTCCAGATCTAAAAAGAAAGTGGCCTCATAGGAGCATTACCTCACTGCTAGAGCTTGGCCTCAAGTCAGACAGTGATGTGGTTTTTGAGCCTCTCTTTTCCAGAAATGAGAAGTGGGCTAGAGGGACAAAAAAGAACTGCAAAGAAAAGGGAGACAAATAATTCTGGGCAGTTTTGCAAATTAAAGGGGTTCCTGGAACCTCAGGTGGAGAAAAGGAAATGGAAAGGGAACATCTATAGAAAAAAAAATATTAATCAGAAACTTAGTCACTTCTTCTAAGGGACTTATTGATCTTGTCCAGTCAGTTATAGACTCCTACAGCAACTCCTTGTAGGGGAAAAAAATAGCAAAACTCTAGAGAATATTCATTATCTATGGAACTCTCAAAGCATTTGTGCCCCACGCTGCCTAGGAAGTGATAAAACTGAAGTCTAGCCAACTGGAATATTAGAGAACTGCTATTGGGAAATATGTTTATTCTTCATTCTCCTCTTGTTAGTATTTTGTGCTATTAAGTGGAAGAGGAAAAGGAGACTTCTGAGTTGATGAACTGGGGCCATGTTATGTGTGCTCCCTATTCTGATTGTCCCCAGAACAGTGGATTTGGGTAATGATGAAGACTTAAGAGCTCAGCACAGCTGGCAGCCACAGAAAGGAGAGGAGAGGGTGTGGCACTTACTTGGGCTTTCTGATCCAGTTTGGCTCTTCCTCGAATAAAGATTTTCTGTTGCTCCAGAGAGGGCAGAAATTCTGGGGGTATCTCATACATAGATTAGACCAGACTTGTACTCTCTTCAGGTTCCCATAATCCCCTCAGCCACCTCACTGTGTTCCATCCTCCATGTTGCCTTACCCTGACCTCCCCCATTTTCCCACACATATTTCCAGATACATGCTGTTTGTACTTAGAGGCCATGGGAAGGGACAATAGTCACAGAGATGTGTGGTAGTGAAGAGCCGCCTGTGTGTCCTAGGGGCAATAAAACCGTGAGAAACAAGCCCTGCAGACCTAGGAGCCTATGTGGAAATTCCAGCAGATGGAATAGAGGAAGAGAGGGTGTTGTTTTTGGTTAGTGGTATTGGGGTGCTACCAATGGCAGGCAGCCTTGGGGCTGCAGCTGGAAAGGAATATCATCATTTTTTGACCTCGGATTGCTTTGTAACAGGGATCTTAACTTGGAATCCATAGAAAGGGTCTGTGGATTGGTTTCAGGGGGCACATGATATTTAGCATTTTCTTCTTTCACTTATAAACATTAAAAAACATTACTCTGAGAAGGGGTCCATAGGTTTTACCAGACTGCCAAAGGGGCCCATGGCACCAAAAAAGAAAAAAGTAAAGAACCTTTGCTTGATACGATCCACCAAATGCCTATTCTGTAGTCTGCAGACAACTCTGCCCACCCTGGCTTATCTTGAAATAAGATCTATAGTTTCAGGATCACATTATAAAGTGGGTGGGATGTTGTTCTTTTTTTTTTGTTGAGGATGAGAGCAGTTAAGACAAAATCATCTGGATGCAAGGTGTGCATGTGCTAGTGAAACACAGCCCTTCCTAGTGCTTCTGGCTGTGGGAGATCCTCTGCCACGTGCAGAAGGCTCCTCCAGGGTAGGGGGTGCTATCCTGGCTGTGACTAGCGGAACATCAAGCTGACTGTGACCAAGATGAATTGAACTCTCTGGTCCCTTGCTTGACCATCTTGTCCTCCTTATTTCACCGAGAGATTCTTCCTTTCCACTATTGACTCATGTTATTCCACATGCTGTCCAGAGCAGTACACACATTAGTGTAGGCCCCAGTTGATTCTCTATCCTAGAGATTGAAGGGGACAAGGAACCAGGTATTCCCAGGACAATGTCTCATATCCTTTCTCTTACAGCCAACAGGAAGGCCGGATGTGCAGTCACCTCTCTACTTGCCTCAGAGCTGACAAAGGATGATGCCATGACTCCACATTCTTCTAAGGTGCCCAGGATGAGTGAGGGAACCCGGGACATCCACGATGAAAATAAGGAATTGATTGGTCGTGCGAGTTAGGCCTGGGCTTTGCGGCAACACTGGCTGAACAGCTGAGCCCAAGGCAGCCCTGCCTTGTAGCATGAGCCTAAGGGGTCAAGTGGATTTTCCTCTATGGCAGCCCACCTTCCCTGCCTCCATTCTTTGGCCTGCTGCTCTCTGTATAGCATACACAGCTTTAGCTGTCTGGAGGCAAGAAGGAAAGGGCACCTTGGAAGAAGCCCTGGACACCCACTCAGCACTGGCTGTTGCATTACCAAAGCAGGGACCATCTCCGCTGCCTTAACCCTAACTATCTTTCCTTTGTTACTGTGGTGCCACATCTCAGGTGGTGCCCAACCTGCTTCCTCAGTCCCTGGCTCCAAAGGAGCTCACCCCAAGGTCAATCTTGCTGGATTTGTGTTCTTTCTGCTGTCTTGTGCCCTGCCGTGGCTTCTCTAGCCCTAGGAACCACATGGGGTTCTTGAACTTTCTGACCATATTTTTAGATCTCCTATCATTGCTGCCATTCATGCTTTCTTCTCCCTCTCTCCATTTGCTATTGATATTTATTGTTTGTGGTGAGGTGTGGGTTGCTGCTTCTAAAGAAATGAGGAGCAGCTCTTACCCTCATTCCCCTCCCCTCCCCAGGGAAGGACTCCTCCTCCCAGCTTCACAAAGCAAAAAGAACTGGACCACTACTATCCAGCTGTGGCATGAACTAGAGCACCTGAGGAAAAATGACCCTAGAGTCTGAGCATTGCTGGACAGGGCATCAAGACAGGACAGCCTCCCCACACCCTCAGCTTAACTGAGTGTCCTGTTTACTGTCCCTCCCTCCCTTTGTCTTCTGCACTTGCCCCCCACTGCCCTTGTTATTCTTAGGGCCTTGGCTCATCTTCCCCTGAAGTTTCAGCTGTTGTATGGCTGCAAAAGGCCCCCATCCTCTCCAAGTCTCCAGGGAAAGGGGAGGCAGAGCCTCCTGGCTAAGAAATTGTTTTGCAAATGGATCTATTTTTGTATAAGATGTTGTTTTTTAGAAAATATACAAAAAACCCCTCTTCCCTGTTTCCTGGCCCTTCTCCCTCCTGAATGTGAGAGTTCCTGGCATTTCTCCCCTTCACTTATCCCCGGAGACCAAGACCCGCCTCACTGCCCTCATCTGAATGTGTCCCGTGGGCAGGTTCAAATTCCAAGTCCCCAGCAATAGTTCTGGATTATTAATTTCTGAGATCTGTGGGTAGCTTGGTACTTTTTCCCTGACCAGACAAGGCCAGGCCAAGGAGCTGAGAGGACCCAGGTACTGCTGAGTTTTTTATAAATTTAATATATTTGAAGAGCCAAATGTGCAAATGCTAACTGGGCACCACCGTGGGGGAGGAGAGAAGTCTAGATTAAGGGTTGGGGCGTGGGGTGGAATCATGTGAGTAGGATGCTCTGGAATCATGGCAGTAGGATGCTCCATAGGCCCTGTACCCTCACCCTGCACTGGATACAATTTTGTGCCATATCCCCTAGCAAGGTAAAGCTAGAATTCCCAAATGCAGGGGATCATCCCTGCTCTCCTCATATCCCCTTCATTTCCTTACTCATAGATAAGAAGAAGAGAGTGGGGCCCTCTAAGTTTAATCCCAGGAATGGTAGTTGCTGGGACAAGAGGAAGGGTTAGGAGGAAATCTAGAGGCCTCAAGGGCAGAAAAGGAATTCTGGGAGTTGGGGAGGTCCAAAATCCTGGGCTTGGGATTTGGGGCAACAGCAGCTGCTATGAGAACTTTTTTCGAATGCTGTGGTGTAGGGAGTACTTGCTACTCCCATTGTCCCTCCCTGCTGGCTGACACTTGGACTTTGAGCCTTTCTTTTTTAAATCACTTTTGCTAAGATGCATTTGATAAAAAAAAATAATAATAAAAGGCAAGATACAAATCTATTTCCCTCGCCTCTCAGGCTTCTGGGACATGTCATCACCTCTGATTTGTTGGATTTATTTGTTTCAAACTGTTAATAAAACATTGGAATGGTATTCGCTCCAGTCTTCTTTGTAAGGTTTTGGCCTGTTCCTCTTCCATGCCCCAAATATACAACTTTCCCTTGCCAGTCAACTTGAGAAAAACCAAGGGCCTTCCCCCTTCTGCTGGGTCAATATCAAGTTTGTTGCTCCCCAATCACCAATTCATATCACAGTATTAAACACCTCGTGTGTTCAAACAGTGTGAGTTTGGGAATACAGATATGAAAAATGAGGATTCTTGTGCTTGAGCTTAAAATCTAATGAAAGGATATGATGTGCACAAATTAATGCAGCACAACATAGAATATTAATAAATGAATGTATATAAAGCTTTAAAGTTTGCAAAAAAGCTTTGTGTGTGTGTGTGTGTGTGTGTGTGTGTGTGTGTGTCTAAACACACTTGTTTGGGCCTCAAAACAACCCTGAAGACTGTGGTCTAGTGAAGTGTCAAACTCAAATAGAAATGGATCCCTGTGAGTAGCATGTTGATGTAGAAAATCACAAATTAACATTGTGTTGTATTTTTATTTTGTTAAACATTTCCCGAATACATTTTAATTTTGTTAGGGCCACACACTTAGGACCTCAAGTTTGAGTGTTTAGCCTGGTCTTAAACTTCAGATTCAGAAAGACCTGGCTGTGATAATGGCTCATGACCCTGAGCAAATTCCTTAACTTCTCAGGGCTGTAGACAACTCTTTTAGATTATAAATTGCTGAGCAATTTATAGGAGATCTAGGAGTTCCCTGCACAAGTGGAATCATAGCTCATCCATCAATCATTCTATAAAAAGTATGTTTGCTTATTTATTTTGCTTAAATCATTCCATGTGAATTCATGGATCCCTTGCAATAACTTAGTCCAAGGCCCAAGTACTACTGTTTTAAAATAATTTTCAGTTGGTGTTAGGGGAGGAAGCACAGAAAGCTTCATGGAGATGGCAGCATTTACTAAGCCTTTAAGAAAGACAAGATTTTCCACAGACAGACAAGTAGAGCAGGTGGGAGAAGTTGGAGTGAGATCAGGGAATAGCTAGGAATCTAATTTGGCTAGACAATGGAGTCTGGGAAGGAGGAATGGATAATGTGAAATAATACCACTAGGTGGCCAAATTGTGAAGGATGTTAAATATCAGGCTAAAGAATGTATTTTATACTGTGCAGTCCCGGATGAGTCACTTCTCTTTATGCCTCAGTTTCCACGAAATGAAAGGATTGGACTAGATTTTTAAGGCCCCTTCCAGTTCAAGATCTTATGATCCTGTGGACATTGGTTCATTTAACAAATTTTAAAGTGCTGTGTAGAGCATAAAGTGTTAGATGCTAAGGGAGAAGCAAGAGTTTAGATGAGATGATTAGTTGCTTTTCATCAGCCTATAGTCTACTTGAGATAAGACAAACATAACTAATAACATATTACCTGATAAATTTGGAGGAGGAGAGAGGAGGAAGTGGGGCAGGGAACTAAACCACACCTGATTTCATCTGTGTAGAGGGCTCCCAGTGTAGGGCTCCAATCTTCTATGGAGATTGGCAACTCATCTATAAATTTAGGTCTTAGTTGCCTGGGATATTAAGAGGTTATGACTTCTCCTGTGGGCATATAGCCAATATGTTTCAGAGGAGACTTGAACCCTTCTCAACCCCAGACCTTCCTCTTTATCATACCATTTTACCTCTCACAGGTGTATGAGAGTCATAAAATAAAGTGCTATATGAGGTCTAAAGAGGTTTGTCACTTTCTGGGGCAACAGGTAAGGCTTCACAGAGGAGGTTATTGTCTCTGACTTTGGAGAATGGGTAGGAATTGAACAGGCAAAAGGAGGGTGTTTCAGGTATAGGAGACTGATGGAGGAAAGGTATGGAGAGTACTGGGTACAATTTGATTGGAGGTTAGAGTGTATAATGAGATGGTCAGACCTGAAAAATTATTTTGGCAGCTAGTAACTCTTAAGAACTTTGTCATTATTAGGGCAGTTAAAAGGCATCTGGATGCAGGGCTGCTGCTGCTATTACTGCTGCCTCCAAGGCCCCTGCACCCACTCTGGTGGCACAGACTTCTTTGGACCTCCTAAGTTGTCTTAGGCTGGAAGAATGTGTCCCTCTGACCTTTCATTGGCTCTGCCAAACCAAAATTTGATTTGAGGCATTATTTTAAAGTTGTTTAGAGGGGAATATTGGGATAGTTCAGCTGCGTCCTGGTCTGTACTCCATCATATTCTCACCTCTTAGTTTCTGGCCCTGCTTTTCAGCTCATGCTTACCTCTCACTGTCTCACTCCTGCAATTTATACTAGGAAGGGAGAGCCAAGCCAATCAACCAACAAGCATTTATTAATTGTTCTGTGCCAGGCACTGTGCTAGGTGCAGGGGATAGAAATACAAAGATAGTAGGGGCAGCTAGGTGGCGCAGTGGATAGAGCACCGGCCCTGAAGTCAGGAGGACCTGAGTTCAAATCTGGCCTCAGACCAAACACTTGACACTTAACTAGCTGTGTGACCCTGGGCAAGTCACTTAACTCCAATTGTCTAAAAAAGAAAAAAATACAAAGATAGTGTCTGCCTTCAAAGAGCTTGCCTTCTACTGGGTGATTACACATTCACAGATCAGTACTGGTAGAATAGGTACAAAATAAATATATAGAAATGGGGTGGGGCAATAACAACTGAGGATTTTAAAATAATATTTTTCTTAATTACATGTAAGAACAATTTTTAACATTCATTTTTAAAATTTTGAGTTCCAAATTATCTCCTCCCCCCTCCCTAAGACAGTAAGCAATTTGACATAGGTTATACATGTGCAATCATTCAAAACATATTTCAATATTAGTCATTTTGTGAAAGAAAAAAGACCAAAAACAACCATGAAAAAAATAAAGTGAAAAGTAACATACTTTGATCTGCATTCAGACTCCATCAGTTCTTTCTCCAAAGGCAGATAGCATTTTTCATGATGAGTCCTTTGGAATTGTCTTGGATCATTGTATTGCTGAGAACAGCTAAGTCATTCACCATTGACTGTTGTACAATATTGCTATTACAATGGACAATGTTCTCCTGGTTCTGCTCATTTCACTTTGCATCAGCTTATGCAAGTCTTTCCTTTCTGAAATGATCCAGCTCATCATTTCTTATAGTCCAATAGTATTCCATTGCAATCATATATACCACAGCTTGTTTAGCCATTTGCCAATTGATAGTCATCCCCTCAATTTCCAATTCTTTGCCACTATAAAAAGAGCTGCTATAAATAGTTTTGTACAAATAGGTCCTTCCCCTCTCTACCTGCTTTTTTTTTTTTTTTTAATTTCTTTGGCATACAGACCTAGTGATGGTATTTCTGGGTTAAGCATATACAGAGTTTTATAGCCATTTCAGCATAGTTCAAAATTGCTCTCCAGAATGGTTGGATTTAGTTCACAACTCTACCAACAGTGCATTAGTGTCCCAATTTTCCCACATTCCTTCCAACATTTATAATTTTCCTTTTCTGTAATATTAGATAATCTGATAGGTGTGAGGTGGTACCTCAGAGTTGTTTTAAGTTGCATTTCTCTAATCAATAGTGATTTAGAGCAGTATTTCATATGACCATAGATAACTTTGATTTATTCATCTGAAAACTGCCTGTTCATATCCTTTGGCCACTGACCATTGACCAAGTGGGGAATGACTTGCATTCTTATAAATTTGACTCAGTTCTTTATATATTTGAGAAGTGAGGCCTTTATCAGAGACACTTTCTATAAAGAATTTCCCCAGCTTTCTGCTTTCCTTCTAATCTTGGTTGCATTGGTTTTGTTTGTGCAAAACCTTTTAATTGAACTGAGATAATTTTAAAAGGCCTCTTGAAGGAGACGGCAGGAACTGAGCCTTGAAAGGTGCTAGGCCCTCCAAAAAGTAGAGGTGAAGGAAGAGAGCATTCTAGGCATGGAGGGGCAGCCTGTGCAAAGTCATGAACATGGGAGGCCAAATGTCATTTGTATGGAGCAGCAAGGAGGCTAGTTTGACTGGGGTGTGGGGTATATGGAGAGTCAAGAGCAGGGTTAGGGAACCTTGCAGCCTCAAAGACACATGTGGCCCTCTATGTCCTCATGTGTGGCCCTTTGACTGAATCCAAACTTCACAGAACAAATCCCCTTAATAAAAGGATTTGTTCTGTAAAACTTGGACTCAGTCAAAAAGCTGAACCCAAAGACCTAGACATGTGGCCTTGAGGCCATAGATCCCCCACCCCTGGTCAAGAGTAATCAGCTTGGAAAAGTAGAGTGAAATCAAATCATGAAGTGTTTACAGTCTTCCACAGAAATGCCAAGCAGAGTAATTTTTATTTTGTCCTATGGGCAATTACGTGCACAAGAGTAACACGATCAGAGCTGTGCTTTAGGCATATCGATTTGGCAACTGGGTGGAGCATGGAGAAGGGGAGAAATTTGAGGCAGGGAGACTAAAGAGGATTTTTTTTTTTTTTTTTTGCAGTAGTACAGACAAGAGGTGATAAAGGCCTGGACTAGGATAGTTGTGGTATGGGTAGAGAAGAGGCCAGATGCAAAGGATGTTGAGGTCATGAAATATATGACTTGATAAGTGATTGAATGTGGTGTGGGGCTAGTGAGAGAATGAGGAGTCCAGGATGATTCTTAGATTGTGAACCTGGGCAGCTCTAATAAAGTGTAGTAAGCAGATGGGGTAGATGTAGGTGTCAAGATGAGGACTATTTTGGACATGTTGAGTGTGAGATGCTTGTGGGACATCCAGGTAGCACTGCAATTAGAAATGGGTGACTGGAACACGGGAGAGATGGGGCTGGATTTGTAAATCTGGGAGTTACCTTCATAGAGATGATCATTGGATCCACGAGTTCTGGTAAGATCAGTAAAAGAGAAAGAGGAGAGATCCCAGGACCAAGCAATAGGATACATCTATACCAAAGGGGCAGAATATAGATAAAGAAACTGAAGAGAAAACTGAAAAAGTAAGAGGACTATGTCAGAGGGGTGTTACAGCAATC